CGCCACGGCTGCTCAGTCATCCTCCTACACAAACTTGAGATGTATGGAGTAACAAACAACAATCTAAGATGGTTCAGAAATTACTTAAATAACAGGAAACAAGGAGTGTCGTACAACACAGCATGTACACGGTTACAAACAATTAGTTGTACCCGAAGGCTCCATTCTTGGACCTTTACTACTTTTAACCTATGTGAACGATATTTACTTAACTTCAAACATTCTTAATTTTACTCTTTTTGCAGATGATGCGAATATTTTTTTTACTAACTTAAATATAAAAACAATATTTTCTACAGTTAATCACAAGTTGCAAAACTTAAATGAGTGGTTTAAAGTTAATAAACTTTCCTTAAACATCATTAACACCAAATATGTTTTATTTCACAAATCATGTAACTCTGTTAATTAACCACTTCAGCTTCTCCAGCTTATGATCGACAGCATTAATATAGAAAGAGACCATTCGATAAAAATCCTGGAAATAATTTTTTTAAGATAATCTTAGTTGGAAGAATCGTATTTTGCACATCAAAAATAAAATCTCCAAGTCAATCGACATCATGCATAAAATAAAACACCTAAATAAAACTTGCTTAAAAATATATATATTATTCGTTTTATCGTAAACGTAAATCATTTGGATTGGCTGATTATACTAAACAATTAATGTCCCCCTGGGAAATGCTCCAATTAGTTACAATATTAAATTTCCAATATTTCTTCCAAAAGAAAGTCTTTTTACGGCGTTAAAGAAACACTAAACCAATTAAGAATGGAATTTTGAATTCCAAAAGTTAGAAATTTAATTCAAAAATTAATGAAAAAATGTTATTTGTGCCGAAGGTACGAAGGAAAAACTTATAGTAATCCTGATGTTCCTTCGTTACCTTTAAATAGAGTAAATAACTGTGGACCATTATATGTGAAAAATATATATTCTGAAGGAGAACCATTTAAGTGTTGGATACTTTTAGCTTCTTGTGCTAGTACACGTTTTATGCATTTAGATTGAGTTCCTGACTGTTATGCATTTTGCCTGTATTCGAGGGTTGCGAAGACTCATTAGCGAATTTGGCGAACCCTACGAAATTATTAGCGATAATGGACCTTGTTTTACAGCCAATGAAACAACAATTTGCATCCTCAAAAGGTATTTTATGGCATTTCAATGTTGCAGCCGCTCTGTGGTGGGGAGGATTCTTTGAACGTATGGTACGTTCAGTCAAAAGAATTCTCAGAAAATTATTAAAAACTGCAAGATTATCGTACGAAGAAGTACTAAAAATTCTTGCAGAAATCGAAGTCATTACGAATAATCGTCCGTTAAGGTTTTTGTATGAACAACCGGGAGACGAACCGTTATCTTCTAATCATCTCGTGTTTGGCAAAAAGAATAAGCGTAGAAACATTATTGATGAAAAACAGTTATAAATATATGGACATAAAAAAGCGCGTTGTATGTAAAAAATAAATTTGATGTTGTTTGTGAATGAAAAAAACATTCAGCTATTTGTTACTACTGTTGGTGGCGGGGGTGTTGCGCTAATCAAGTTATCGTAAACGTAAATCATTTAGATTGGCTGATTATACTAAACAACTAATGTCCCCCTTGGGAATATGTATATAAATAGCGTGCTTATCGAAATCTCGCTCTCTTGGAGTATTCTATCAAACATCAACGGACTCGGGCAACTGTTCTTCTACTAGCTGTGATCTACAATATCTTTCTTTGTTTATTGCATATTTGTATATAATATATCAATTATAATAAATTGAACTCGTTTTACAATACGACTCTTACGTAAAACAACAAACTGATTTCTCTATCTTATTTTGAGGACCGCGACTATGGAATTCGATCCTTAAAGAAGAAATAAAAAATATGAAGTCATCAAATCTCTTTAAAACAGCTGTCAAACAGCACCTATTTAACTTAAGTGACGTCAACATACTCTCCTACTTTTAGAGATCAAATTAATAATAACTAAAACGAACTTATCCCTATTGGATGACCACAAACGATGATTATATCACAATATAAATAGTTTTTCTTTTCTATACCCGTCTATCAGATCGTTACGTACAAGGCTTTATTTTTTACGTACAAGGCTAAGTATTTGCTTTATTTCTACTTATGAATTTTTAATGTCACGTAAAACTTATTGCAAAGTCGCAAATGAAAGGGGCTTGATGATGAGACTGCAGTCTTCTTCTTGCTTCTGTCATTATTTTAGTTTTATCTTATTTATAAATATATACATGAATTAAAATTAATTGTATGTAAAATATATAGTGACAAAATAAATTTAAAAAAACAAACACTCTGGTTAACAAACAAGATTTTTTCAAAAACAAATGTTACTAATACAAATACGATCTTATTTAGTGTTTTTAGAAGCTGGCATTTAGCTCGGGAATAACTTTACAGTGTAGATAACAACCTGGTTAAGGTACAGTAAAATTTTGGAGAAAAACTGCTTATTAGTTCTGGAGAAAAGAAGTTCCAACTGTTGCTAAAGCCGTTGCTAAGGAACTTTTCGATGTTTACCCCCTTTTAAGAAACAAAGTTAGGACAAATTTATAAATATTTCTTTCATTGTTATATATTTTTATTGTTTATAAAGGTTATAACTTCTAAAAAAAAAAGATTTTTTTGTTTTGGGTATTTATTTTTTTAAGTGGGTAGCCACCTTAAAAAAATAATTGCTTATACAGAACAGTTGAACTTTATTTAGTGGGTAGCCACCTTAAGTTGAACTAAAAAAAGTTGCTTGTATAGAGGTTGCTTGTAAAGAATGTTGCCAATAGTAAGGTTGCTTATATAGAGCGTTCATTGTGTAAATGCATTAAAAACAAACTTTTTTTAAAAAAAAAAACACACTGAAATGACTAGTTTTTAACAATATGAGTGACACCTAACCTAATTTTGCAAAATTATAAAAAATTTGTAATTTTTAATTTTTGGTTAAAATAAATGGATTTAAAAAAAATAACTTAGGTCATCCATCCAAAGATATTAGGTTTTGTATTTTTTATAGCGATTGTTTCTATAGTATAAATGCATTAAAAACAAACTTTACAAAAAAAAAAAACAAAAACAGATGACAAGATTTAGATTGATAAGTGTTCCAAATCTTAACAGTCAAGCATGAAGATAAGGCGATCGTGGTTGGCCCAAGACATGTTTTCCTTAAAAATTGCAAAACATAGAAAAGTGATCTGGGAACCGTCCATAAACGACTTCACGCTAAATTTATCTTTTAAATTAAAGTAAGAGATCATTGGCTCTCTCCACAGAGGTAATTAAAGTATTACAGGGTTTTATATTCAATGAAAATCTCAGTGCAAAAAAACTACAACTTTTATTCAAAAATTAAATTTTGCATGACGTTTTTTATGAACAACCCCTTACTCTCGAGTTTCTAATAAACGTCCCCCCTCCTCGTTTATTGATTTTTGGACATTTTTTTCCACCCACCCTAAGCTTATTAAGACCCTCCCCCCCCCCCCCCCCGTTTAATAATTATTTCTTGTTATCAACAAAAAAATTATATATCTCAAAAGTAACAAAAATTCAGTGAAAATCGGCCTTAAAAATTTGAAAATAATTTTCAGTCACCGATAAAAACAAAAACAAAAAGATTTTACAAATTGTCGTAAATTTCGATTTGCTAAAAATAAACTTTTAGAACAAAGCTTTGGTTTTAATTATAGGATTTAATATGCTGAATGTAAGTTTTATACTTTGCAAAGTATAAAACTTACATCAGCATATTAAATCCTATTGAAATTATGATAAAATAGCCTAACCCTACCTATATATATATATATATATATATATATATATATATATATATATATATATATATATATATATATATATATATATATATATATATATATATATATATATATATATATATATATATATATATATATATATAGCTGTTACAAAATGCGCTTTTGACTTGAACGTGCATAATTTGCATGCCAAATAAACGAAGGGAGGGGGAATTTAACATGCTCCCACGTTTATTAAATTTCAGAAAAAATTTCCCCCCTCGTATATTAAACCCCCCTGTTTATTAGGTTTTGACTAAAATTACCGCCCACCCGTTTATTCCCCCCCCCCCCCCGTTGTAATCGGCACCCGAGAGTAACAATATTTTAACATATTTTTGTTTTATTCCGTCAAATGTAAATATTTAACTGACGAAAAAATATAGATATTTTATATTTTCATTATTTGAAGACAAAAGTGTTAAAAGAAAATAAATGCTGCTATTTTAAAAGTGTTAAAAGAAAATAAATGCTGCCCAATAATATGGTTTAAAAATAAGTTTTTTTTTCATACATACATACGAAAATTTTCAGTCATACATACGAAAATAAGTTTAAAATTCAAATGCGAATTAAAACAAATGGCGCGATTTTGTGCAGCTCGGTTATTTTTACTGTGCATCTAATTGGTATTTATATTTTATAATTTATAGTTAACTTAAAGAAGAAAAGTTAATAGAAGAAAGTTTTACATGTCTTTAGTTTTATATATAAATAAACATTTTTTTTTTTGCATGATTTAACAAAACTTTTATAAAAAACGTCTATATTATTAAAGGTTTTTAAAATTTGCAGTATTTTTATTGGATTATCCCAACAAAAGTAATAATATAAAATTTCTGAACTCATTTTATGTAATATTTCCAAAGATTTTCACGGTGGCTAGCACTGTCAACTTTAGCATATAAAGATCCATTATATAAAGATATCTTTTATTAGATATAAAAGAATCCCTAAACGCCGAAAGTTTTAGACAAAACTTTTGGCAAATTTCACCAATATATGCCTAATAGTACGAAAAAAAAAAGTTTTAAAGAATTCAATCATAAGCAATATTTTGACAATTTTGATTTTATTTTACTTAATGTAATATTTACTAAACAAGAAAAGATTTTTTTTATATTTGAAGATTTAAGCGTTTAAAAAAAAAATATATATATTTTTTACAAGATTCTCAAAAAAATATATTCTTAATAAAACACAACTAATACCGATTTTATTTACAGAAAAAGTTAAAAATAAGTTTTTAAGTCGCAATCATAAGTTTGCTGGATTATGTTTTTAACATTAATTCAACATTAGGAATATGATTATTATTTTATTATTAAGCAAGATTCATTGATCACAAAACAGAAGATAAGTAACTTCTACTGTTTTAAGTCAAATACTAATATTCTTCTATTTTTGATTCGTCGCAAATATGAATGTCTTTTTTAACAATTAGGACATCATAGAACATGTCGAAAAAAATTATTACCTCGAAATCGTTCAAAATACATTGATATTATGAAGATAAGTAACTTCTACTGTTTTAAGTCAAATACTAATATTCTTCTATTTTTGATTCGTCGCAAATATGAATGTCTTTTTTAACAATTAGGACATCATAGAACATTAGGACATTGTCACTTGTTTAGTTGCTCCCAATATGTTAGAAACCATTTTTTGTAGTATTCCAATATTATTTCAAAGATTTTGTGGTGCTGAGCAGGAAAAATACTTTAGCTCAAGATAAGTGTGCATATATATATATATATATATATATATATATATATATATATATATATATATATATATATATATATATATATATATATATATATATATATATATATATATATATATACTAAACTCCAAACTAAGATTTATAGTTCTTACAACGGAAACTTAGTGACTCCTGTTAAAATTCAGATACACAACCAATTTGCAACTTTGTTGTTGTAAAAATTTGCTAAAGTCAAAGATTATCAGATGTTAGTAACAGAAATATTCATACTGTACAAATTACAACACACACACATATATATATATATATATATATATATATATATATATATATATATATATATATAATATATAATTATATATATATATATATATATATATATATATATATATATATATATATATATATATATATATATATATATATTCATAAAAAACAATGTTTAAAAACTTACAAGAATTATTTCCTGGGGTTAAATATTTGCTTTTAGAGCTATTATCTTGTTCATTATCTGTTGGTAAAGTGCTACTTAAATCATTATTAAAATCATCGTCAAAGTCATGTTCTCTACTATCAGTACTGCTATCATCAAAGTCTATGTATTGGGATAACGCTTTTTTCATTTCACATGTAAGTTCCATTCCACTTGCAAATTCTTCTAAAATCTCTGAAAGCTCTTTTATTTTTTCTTCATATATTTCATTTTTTATTGGAAATTGTTTATTTTCAAAATAAGCCATTAATGCTTCAAATATCTCTACATAATCATTTGATAAAGCAAATTCAAAAAAAACTCCATTTTTATAAAAAACGTCTATATTATTGAAGGTTTTTAAAATTTGCAGTATTTTTATTGGATTATCCCAACAAAAGTAATAATATAAAATTTCTGAACTCATTTTTTGTAATATTTCCAAAGATTTTCACGGTGGCTAGCACTGTCAACTTTAGCATATAAAGATCCATTATATAAAGGCGTTAACTGGTTTTAAGTCTTTACGAAATAGGACGTGATTGGACCAATTTCATGTGACGTGGAAGCAAAATCAAAATAATATGCGCGCGCATGCTGGCAGGCAAAACATTTTTAAAATAGCGTTTGGGATCGTCCATAAATTACGTAACGCTAAGTTTTAATAATAAACAAAATTAAAGGATTTCCCTCGCAGAGCTTTAAGTTATATAAAAAATCAAAATAGCCACTGATCTTAAAAATAATAACTATTACTAATAATAATACTTTAAAATAATAGTTATTATTTTGAGATCAGTGCAAAATAGTGAATTAAGTTTAACGAAAATCGCCGCTTAAAAGAGCCTAAGATTTCCTTACTTCTGTTATATAAAAAAATTGGCGTTGCTTAATTTATGGACAATCCCAATATCAAATTACAACATTACTTGATTCACACAAGTGTCAACATTTAACTTCTACTTGATTAACACAAGGACGTATAAATTGGGTTTGGACATTTAACGCATTGTTATAGATCAAAGGCACAGCCAAATACTGAATTTCTGTACGGACTATACTTTTTAGCGTTATTGTTCAAAGAGGTCGTCCATAAATTACGTCACGCAGTTTTTGACATTTTTGGACCTTTTTACCCCTCCTCGATACGCATCGTAACACTTAGTTAATGTTGCTTTACAAAATCGAGACCCTTACCCACCCCCTCGTAACTAATCATCACAAAACCGCTACCCCTCCCCCCTCTAAAACGTAATTTGTGAACGATTCCAAAATAGTTTTACAAAATAAAAAGATATTTAACAAGTATTTTTGCTTTGCTAACTTCTTTCCGTAAACATTTTATTACCGGTAAAATACTAACTTTTGGGAAATTTAAATAGAGTTGAAAATGTCTCAAATGTTTAAAATTTTTTTAATTGATATCCAAATTTTGTTTAATAATAACTTATTAAAAAAAAAACTTTTTACGTCAAAAATGATGTTTTTGTAAAAATGCAATAAATACTAATATAAGTATTGTAAAGTAAAAAGAATTTTCTACGTGCTGTATGTCATAGATCATTTATAGATTTAACTAGAGATTTTGCTACTTCGTACAATTAAATTTTACTAATCTCCTAAAGATTTAACTTTAAATATTAGATAAAACTAAAGTTCTCATTTTTGAGGGAAACCAAAACATTTTTTGTCTCAACTTTGTTTTGATATTTATCGGTATTTAAAAAGTAGAGTTCTTGAATAATCATAAAATATAACAACTTTTTGTTATATAGTAATAAAGGAGTTATACAAAGGTAATTAATTATATAGAATATTTTCAACAAAATAGTAAAATATATTAATCACAATACTTTACACAATAAAGTTTTTTTATTTGACTAGATAGATGAGACAGTTGTCATTTTGATGAATAACCATAAAAAAGTATTTTCACGTGACGTAAATGTTTCCTATTGTTTTACTATGGTTATTAATACCAATTGATAGCGCAGATATCTTGGCTTTTAAACAATGAGTTAAACGTCTATTCATTAATACCTTTAAGACCTTAACAAAGATTAACAAAGCATATAAAATAATAAAACCATATTTATCATTTAATAAAGAATAAATATTACAAACGAATTAAATTGGGAATATTTAAAGAAAGTGTTTGGAATATCAACATTTCACAGTAACCTGACATCATTTGGAGAAACGTGATAAGTTTTCTTATTAACACTCCTAGTGAGTTTACAAAAGAAAAAAACAAAACCTTCAAGTAATTGGAAGTATATGAAACATATTTTTTGTGTGGCCATTCACAAAACTGTTGGTATGCTTCTAGCATACCCACAACCTTGTGCAGAATACCCAGACAACAAGCTTACATTGGACCAACGTTGGGCCAATGCACGATGATGCATTGGCCTAACATTGAAAGTTGATGTTAGCCCAATGCAGGTTTGATCATTGGTTAGGTATTGGCCCAATGTTGTATACAACGTTTACCCAACATTAGCCCAACGTTGTATATAACGTTAGGCTAATGTTGTATACAACATTGGCCCAACATTGTATACAAAATTGGCCCAACGTTGTATACAACATTGTATTGTATACAACATTGTATTGTATACAACATTGTATACAACGTTGTATACAACATTGTATACAAAATTGGCCTAACGTTGTATACAACATTGGTCCAACGTTGTATACAACATTGACCCAACGTTGTATACAACATTGGCCTAACGTTGTATACAACATTGACCCAACGTTGTATACAACATTGGCCTAACGTTGTATACAACATTGGCCCAATATCGTATGTTATATATCGTCCTAACGTTTTATGCAACATTAGATCGTTACAAATAAGATGATTTGCATCGCTACATTGAAAATTTATAAAGAAAAAAAAGAATGCGTGATACAAGTATAAAAACTTTATTTATTTACATAATTTATCCGTTAAATATACATATTGCAAACACCAAACTTAAACCAAAAACTGACACATTGAGTTTTAAATAAAAAAATTCACTATAAAATTTATAAAGTAGTTTCGATATTGGCTGAGCTACTTGTTATTGAATAGTGTTTAGCTTATGATATTTGGTACCCATGATTATTATTTTTTCTTCCTCTATCTCTATCACATGTCCGCATAAGCCATGCTTATTTGACTTTACAGTCTCTGCAAAAAAAAAAGTTGTTTGTTTAATTATGCACCAAAGAAACATAACAAATTGAAAGTAATTCTGTAATGCAAAATTGAAACTGAAAAAATAAACTTTTCTAAACCACTTACCAATAGCAGCATATGCAATCAACATTTTTTCTGTTCCAATTTTTTGTCCTCTCCCTGCATAGTTTAATTTTACAACTAGGCTATTTTAAAAAACTATTCTTAGCAAATAAAATACACAATCTCCTTTGTCTTTAACTCCGATTTGTGCCAAATAATTGACCTGCAAAAATACACAACCTGGCAATAATTTAAGTAACTTTTGTTTAGACTTAAATTAACATAAAATGTAATTTACAAAAAATCTTCAAAGAGTATTTTATTTAAAGTATATAAATTGTACTAAGGCATACAAAATGCATGAAAAAGTTATTAAAAAATATTTACCATTTACTTACGTATTTTCTTTTCTTCCAGAGTACTTGAATTCTTCACTGCTTTTAACACCAATGACACTCTTTCAGGTAATACAATAATTAGTAAACCGTTGTTACTCAAATTTTTATAACTTAATTTGATGTGTTTTGTAGTTTACCAAGTTGTACTTCAATGACGACTAAGAATGAACACTAAGAAAAACATAAGTTTCAGAAAAAATAAATGGGTAGCACCAAAAAAAACACAATAGCTTAATTGAGCGTTGTATTTTGAAAATGTGACAAGTCACAAAATTAAAATTTTACGAGGGAGTGAAAAATATTTCTCCTGTAAAAAATTTTATTTTTATTTTATCTAAAAATTGTTTCTTTTCTCTAAAAAAATCTTTACTTTATCTAAAATAATCTTTATTTTATCTAAAAAAATCTTTAATTTATCTAAAAAAAATATTTATTTTATCTTAATATTCTTTTATTTTAAGTGAGTTTATTTGAAAAGAATATTTTTTTGAAAATATTCTTTTCAAATAACCTCACGAGACACAAAAAAGTGTCTCATCACGTTTTCAAAATACAGCGTTCATTTGTGAAACGAGTAACTTCTTAACTAGAATTACTGATTTTTCCATGACTATCTAAAGAAAAAAATAATTTCCTGACTTTTCCAGGTTTTCCACGACTTTGGCCAATATTAACAAATTTTCCCGATTTCCAAGGTACAGTACGGACCTTGTCCAATGTTTGTAAATAACTTTTTTTACATAATTTAGTTCTGAATTTTAATAACACTATTACTAAAAATAATATCATCTATAAAAATTGGTGACACCAACTTTGAAATCAAACAAAAAAATTTTTTTACGTTCATAAACTTAAATGTTCTCAAAATAACTAAAAAACCTGGCCAGTTTTTTGCAACTAAATATATTCTCTATGGTCAGTATTCGAGAGCGATCGCTCCTGCTTCCTGACCAAGCCTGTGGTGTAAGCTTTGATATTTTGGTTATTACATACAAAATAAATGTTAAATAACACTCTGACTTTTTGACCGTAATATATGAAAAAGTTTTTAAAATTGTAAAAGTTAAAGCTATGAATAAAGATTTTCAATCATTAGACACTTACTATTTAATAAATTTGTTTATTTAACTTCTCAGAGCAAACATTAAACTTCTGTAAAGATTTTGGAGTTACAGGTAAATCCCAAAGTTTAATAATATTTTTTGTTTTATTATATGAAAATGAGGATAAATCATCTACACCAAGATATACACAATTTTTTGTCTCCTCAATCTTTATTTTGACTGGTCATTTTCGCTGTCTTCCTTTTTTGTCTCCAGAGCAGAAATTTAGCCTTATGCTAAATTCAAACTTGCATTGCTTTAAAAATCTATAAATCAAATCATCAATAATTAAGTTATAACTAAAGTTAATGTATAAGCTTAAAGTTGTTAACTGTTGTATGCAAACTAAATATGAAAAATATCCAGAGATATTAAATTAAAAAATAATTAAACCAAGAATAATGTCCCTCTGCCTCGGAAAGATGGAATATTAGAAAGCTCTACATAAGTAGAATATAAGTTCTAGTAACATCACTTTTTGTACACTGTTTTAATATGTTAGTAGATGGGGTTTCATAGTCAAACACAGAAAAAATCAAACAAAAGAGACATATTTAATATGTAAAATATCAGCTTCTAACAACTTCAATGCCACATATATATTATTGATACCTTTAATAATATATCTTATAATAGCTATATAATCTAAACTATTATAAATAATGAAAAAAAAATTATACTGTATGACGTTTTAAAATGTTTGATTTATTTAATAAAGAAGACATTTAAAATGTTTTCCTTATTAAATAAATAGAACATTTGAAATGTTTCATTTATTTATAAATAATAATAATAAATTTTATAAATGTATAATAATATTTAATAAATTAAATTTAATAAAGATTATTAACTTAAACAAATATTTGAAATGCCAATACAGCAGTAAAAATAAAAAAATAACTTAAAGATCTTACACAAGAATAATTTGATTATTGCCTTTATTATTACATTAATAATTTAGATTGTAGTAAAAAATATTTTAAGCATATTATTTAAATGTTAACAAATATTTCATTTAAAAAAACAAAACATTAAGTCACGAGAATCTCTTGAAGTTTACTTCTTATAAGAAACCTTTTAAGATTCTTAGAAGATTAATAAATATAGCTTCTTTTTTTTATTTTTATAATATAAATAAATGGAAAGATATATAATAGTATCAAAACCTTTTTTTATTCTGCCATTTTTTAAAAATGTTTCGAAACAATTTGAAAGTATATACTAATCCGAAACTACATTGGCCGAATATTTGCTACGTTATAAATGTAAAAACAGATTTTAATATTAAGCCTAAACTACATTGGCCAAATAATGGCCCAACGTAGTTCGATAATTGCAAAAAACCGATTTGTCGAATTGCAATATTTCGCCGAAAAAAAAACATTGGCTAAATGTTGGCCCAATATAGTACAATATTTGCTAAAAACCGATTTGCAGAATTGAAAAGAATACGCGTAAAAAAAACCTTGGCAGAATGTTGGCCCAATGGAACAAACTTGCCAATGTTAAAACTTTCATTTGGTCAATGTAAGCTTGCTGTCTGGGTTACGCGCAATAAAAATTATTTAAAACTCATTTAAAGACTCTTGTTTTATACAAGGAGTGTTTATTGATTTGTCCAAGGCATTTGATACCATCAATCATCAAATCCTATTAAAAAATCTCATATCATATGGTATTAAAAATAAAACCTTTTTATGGTTTGAATCTTATTAACCATAAACAGTTTGTTTAGTATAAAGATTCTATATCTCATCTATTAATGAATATAACATGTAGTGTTCCAAAAGGATCCATACTTATTTTATAAATATACATAAATGATTTTCATGATCAAAGAAATGATCTTCAATGATCATATCTTTCCTCAAGGATCCATACTTGGTCCTCTTATTTTTTTAATATTCATAAATGATCTTTATTAATCATCAAATTTAACAACAATAATTTTAAATTTTGCAGACGACACAAATTTGTTTTTGTCTCACAAGGATATTAACACGCTTTTTACTAATATGATAAATGAATTTAAAAAATAAAAGTTTTTGTTTGGTTTAAACAAAATAGATTGTCTCTAAATATAGAAAAAACTAAATGGACATTTTTTTATCCACCTTTAAAAAACCAGAAACTGTCCCACATCATGCCAGACCTTTTAATTGATAATAAAATAATAAAAAGAGAAAAAGTTACTAAGTTTCTCGGAGTATATATTGATGAAAATCTATGTTGGAAAAATCATATTGATAATACCTCCAATAAAATTGCTAAATGCATCAGAATTCTTTATAAAGCAAGAAATATATTAGGTAAACACCAGTGAACACAATTAATTAATTCATATATTCTGAAATAATTGTCACATTCACAGAAGTTTACAAATAGTATATGTACTAATCTTAAGTAAAAACCTTGCATATAAAAGCTAATAAATATATTGTTAATGCTAATAGTAATATTAATCGTCCACAGCAGTAACAAAACGAACATTAAAAGATGGAGTAAAAATACTAATAATGATAATGTATTATTTTCAAAGCTTTGTTTTGAATATGGGATATCCTTAAAACTGCTTGCTGTTGAGATTGTCCCTATATTTGACAAACATATTGTATATGTGAGCCAAAAATGGCATGATATGTAACTAATAGTGTTTCCAGATTGACATAATGGCGAACTTTAGCCAGCATTCCATTTGATCTGCTCAATTTTATGGCTAAGTCTTCAAGATGGGACGCAAACAATAGGTTGGAACCAATTATATTTGCAAGATATTTGATAGATTTTACAGGAATGATTTTCTGGCAATCTTAATTATGAATAGCCGAATGAAGATTATTATTAATGCGCATAGTTACGCGTATTGTTTTATAGTTACGGTACGGTTCTGTATCTGTAAAATACACTTTTTAAGTAGTTTCCAGACTTTTCTTTACCGCGTGCTTTCTTAAAGATTTCCTTTCAACCTTTTATGGTACGAGTTCAAAATGTCTAAGTTGACATAAAGTAGATAATGTTTAGTAGCTTAATATTCTAGGTAATCTAAAATTTTTTTTAAACTTAAAAGTAATTAATTTATTTTAATCTTTTTTAAATTGTAATTTTAAATTTAAAGCTTCGTGTTATAGATTATTTAATTCTTAAATTGTGTCTAGCGTTAAAATATATTTATGGGTAGTTTCATGCTTTCACTTAGTTTTGGTTATTGGGATAAAAGCCATGACAACATTTTGTTATAAATTTATCTTAATTTAATTTTTATTGAAAATTTTGATATAAATAAAATTTATCTTTAATATTGTTAATACTTTTGCTCTTTGAAAAAAAATATGTTTCCGGCTCTTCAATAAATATAAAGTAATTTGTCTTGCATGAATGAATTTTGGTTTAGGATTTAATTGTGTTATTTATGTTTGTCTATCTGTAATTTATTTAGGTTATTAGAAAATTCATGTTTACAGAGTTGTTATTAATTATAATCGAGTTGTTAAACCAAGGAAATTGTGGAGGTTTATTTATCATATATACTATATATATTATATAATTATATTGGAGGGAGTAAGTTTAAAAGCATTTTTAAATTTTTAAAAAGAAATAAAAATACTTTTCAATATATATCTGTTTTCTTTGAGGTAGAATTAAAGTTTAAGTATTTTAAATTAACTTTACAATATTAAAATGGTTTAAACGAACTTAAACGAATTTTTGTAAATGAATTTAATCCTCAAAGATTAAATTTTTTTTATTATTGAAGAAATTGAACTAGATTTAAGAATGAGTCAACTTAAATGTTTGTTTGTTTTTGTATTTAGATGATGACAATATTGAAGCAAGTAAGTTAAAAAACATTTTTAAATTTTTAAAAAGAAATAAAAATACTTTTCAATATAGGGTCGTTTCCACACCTAGCGTGAGTCGACACTTATCGTAGGTTTTAAATACTAACATAAGTTTTGCACAAAGTAGTAATTATTTTTTTTTAAATATGTATTTTGTTTATCAACAACATCGTCATGCAATTCATAGAAACCGCAATACATAGTTACTTATATAAACTCAGTGGGCTTATTACGTCAGCGTATGAAAAAACGTTTTTTTTAAGTATCAGCTGTTAGAAGCGTTTCAAATAAAACAAGATAATTTAAGAAGATAAGATAAAATTTTATTTCTAAATTGATTTAATAAGGTAAATATAACATAAATCATTATTAATATTATTAAAACCACTCATCATTATAGTATCAATGTAGTATTTTTGAACGTACGATAAGTATGAACTAAAAAAATGTCATTCCATACATATCGTATGTCCAATAAATAATCAATTTGTTTCTTTTTTACTATAAAAATAAAAATTTCATTTAGATTCTTTTCCAATGGCAAGACAAAAATATAAGACAAAAGTTTGTAGCTCAAAACGAAGACTTCAATATACAGATAGCCAATTAAGAGATGCTATTAATGCTGTTAAAAAAGGTATGGTTGTGTACTAAGCAAGCAAGACGTTTGGAATTCCTTATCAGACGCTTCGTGATAAAATATCTGGAAAAATTTCTCTGAAGATACAACACTGAGGTTATGAATCGGTACTAGGTGAACACTTTGAAAATGAATTAGTCGAGTGGTTTCTAACATGTACCAGAATGGGATTTGCCATGTCTGTAGTATAGCTATTAGATACTGTGCAAAAATACTTGAATTCTAACAATATAAAAACACAATTTACTAACAACCGTCCTGCAAAAGGTTGATTTTATGCATTTCTTCGCCGTCACAAAGTTATCTCAAAAACGAGGTGAATACTTAAACTGAGCTAGAGGAGGAGTAACTGAAAAAGCCATGAGAGATTGGTTTCGCTCCACCATAAACAATTTTTAAATATGTTCGTCTTCCAAATAGAATTATAAATACTGCTCCATCAGGATGGGGTATTGGAAAAAGTGAAAATGGTTGGATGACCCCAGAATGAGTATAGTACAAACATTTTTCATCTATTTTTGATAAAAGAAGAAATTCCTTTACCAGTTATTTTTTATTTTTTGATGGCCATGCGTCACATTTTTCTATCGAACTATCGATGTGGCAGTTTTTGGGCCAATGAAAGCAAAGTGGAAATCTTTATGCCGACAATAGCGCATTGACCATGAAGGACAAGAAATAAACAATGAAAATGTGCCAGAAGCATTAAATTCATTTATAATTGATCTTTCTATGGCAAATAATGTTAAAAGTGGTTTTAAAAATATCGGAATATTTCCATTTGATGTTATAGTGTGGACTACACAAAAATTCTTCAAAGACTATCTGAGTCAACTGTGGCTCCGACTCCTTATTTAGAAGAGAATCAATCAAGTGTGGCTTTATCAGCTTCTTCTCCCATAAACTTTATTGAAAACTTCATTGATTCAAGTATTTTAGAGCAGTTTAAAATAGCTGACAAACATTTAGGCTAGAAAGGTGACCTTGAATATCTCCAGCTGTATCTGTTTTGGAAAAGAGCCTCATCTGAAACATATAAGATTTCACCTGATGAAATACAACAGAGTAATAAAAATCTATTAACAACTTGTAATTTAGAAAATGTGCAAATTATAACCAGTATGGAAATACTTGATTGTAATATTGCAGCGGATATAGAACCAAAACCAGCTTGTTCTAGTTTGAAAATAGCAGCAGAAATCATAAGTCCAATTGAAAGTGTTTTAATATGGCCAAAACAACAAGTCCAAACGTCCAAGCGCAAAATAGATCGTTTACCATCGGTTGTAACATCTGAAACGTGGGAGCAAATTCAAAAGACAAAATTGCAAGAAAAGTCACAAATAAACGATGAAAAATTAAGAAAGAAACAATTAGCTGCAGATAAAAAGTCAAATATAGAAGAAGATAGATTAAGAAAGAAGCAAATGGCTATGGAGAAAAAGTTATTAAATGAAAAAACTATAAAAGAAAGAGAAAACATGAAAATTTTGAAAAAGGAAAATTAAGCCGCAAAAGAAAAAGTAAGCTTGAAACTAAGTCAGAAAACAAGTTCCATTGTTAACAATAATTATAAAATAAGACTCAGATAATTATAATGAAACTCTATCCATTCCAGTTTAAAAGATTTGTACTAAAGTAATGGAAATGCTTTAAAAATCTTTAGTTTTAATTCAAAATAATATTTTCATTAATATATAATTGATGTTTATTTAATTTATATATTTTTAATTTATATACCTAAAAACGTTTAATAAAATGTTACTAATGCATTAAATTTTCATTTGAAACCGCGAGCGCATTATAAACCAGTCACTAAAGCAGATTTTAATATATACGATAAGTGTCAACAATATATACGATAAGTGTGAAACACTTACGATAAGTATGGAAAACTGCGCTTTAAAAGTTTGATCAAAATAAGTACATTATTGATTTAAATTTCAGAGTGAGAATAATTTTAAACTAACCCTTATAGTACTACATTGATGGCTGCAAAAATTCATTTCTAATAAATTTCTTCTTTTTGAGTAATCAAACATAATATAATAACTTTTGTTAAACTCACGGTAAGTATGGAAACCACCCTATATCTGTTTTCTTTGAGGTAGATTTAAAGTTTCAGGTTTTTAAAATCATATATATTTTAAAATCATATATATAAATCATATATCTTTGTTTTTCTATTTAGACGTTGGTAATAATATTGAAACAAATAAGTTATAAAGCATTTTTAAATTTTAAAAAAAAAATAAAAATACTTTTCATTATATATCTGTTTTCTTCGAGGTAGATTTAAAATTTCAGGTTTTTTAAATCATATATATTATAAGATTTAAGAATGAGTCGACTTGAATGTTTGTTTGTTTTTCTATTTCGACGTTGGTAATAATATTGAAACAAGTAAGTTATAAAGCATTTTTAAATTTTTAAAAAGAAATAAAAATACTTTTCAATATATATCTGTTTTCTTCGAGGTAGATTTAAAATTTCAGGTTTTCAAAATCATATATATTATAATAATTAATTCTTTTTTACTTTAAAAATATCTATATTATAGTTACACTGAGTCGTAGAAAAAAAATTAAAGTTTATTAATAAGGTAATAGATTATCAGAGTAGATTAAATTGTTTGATCTATTAATCAACTTAATAACGTACTATTAAAGTGAAGATTTATTTCGGGTTAAAATTTAGCTAGAGTTTATTTAAAATTTAAACTCTTTTCTTAATCAAGAGAGATCTAATAAAGGTATTAATTAGTTGAATGTGGCATTTAATATGTATTTTATCGATATTTTAACGTCTAAACATTAAAGTGCTTTTATTGTTTAGATACAGAAGTGAAGAAGAAAATAAGTCAGTGTTTTTGCTATTAGATATTTGTTAATAGGAATTTGTTTATTTGTACTGCCACTGGAATTTTAAAAAATCAAGTTCTTTAGCTTTATTTTATACTTTCTTTTAGGGGAGTTGGAACAAAAACTAAGTATAAATTATGATTAGTTTAGTTTAATAAATAAAGCATTAATATTTAGAAGATATAAAGTTTACTTTAGTTTATAGTTTTGGTTTAGTTTATAGTTTTGTTTTTAGCTTTAGTTATTTTTTTCTTACTTTAGACAACTTTATGGATGAAATGAGGGGGATGGGTAAAACAATTACTTAGATATGTATATATTTATATGTTAACATTATTTTATCGATTATTTTATATTTATTTAAGTATATATTTTTCTTTAGTGTCTGGTGGAAGTATAGCTGGTAGGGCTATGTTTTATATTTTATATGTTTTGTATGGAGAAATATGTGCAATAGGTGGAAAAATTAATTAATAAATATGACACTTTTGAACTGGTTGCATTATTGCCCTATATTTTTATTAAAATACAAAATGTTTAACCCTTATTAATTTGCTCTCTCTTTTTTTTTTTTTAGCATCTTTTGTTTCAAATGAAAATGGTGAGGTTATGCTATTTTTTTTTTTAAATAATTGCAAATGTATAATTTTTATTATATTCTTCTATTAGTAAATTAAGATTCCTCATCATTCGAAGAATACAAAAATTACCGCTCCCAACACCCGGGACCTCTATCAGAGAGGTCCTTCAAAAAATGGAAAGATCATGGCGGATTGGACGAGCCCTCCTTTAAATGGAGGGTTCATCCATACCGGGGTGTTGGGAGACACCGAAGAAAAAACAGCAACCAAAAGGTTGTAAATGTCTTCTATCAGTAGAGATATTTATGACTTTTTAGTTGCTGCTTTTTCTTCGGTTTTTTAATTTTTTGATTCGGTGTTTTTTTTTTTAATTTTATAATTTTTTTTTTTAATATATATTACGTTGTATATTTTATTTGTTTTGATCTTTTTTAATGAAAATTTTAATTGTTTTCTCACCAATTAAACCTGACTTCAAATTTAAAGCCCTCTTAAATACCCCTCCCTAAAATCTAAAGTCGAAAGTTGAATTGATTCATTATCCAATTATCATAATATAATGATGCTGAATTCTTTTGTTAAAAACAATTATTTAGTATGTTTAATTTATTGAACTCACTGCTTTTAAAATTTACCAAAACCCAAGGCAATATATTTAGCTATATAATTACAATTTATTTATCTTGATTCCATTCTTCATCTTTTATGTTTATAGTTTGGCTCCTTGAAGCATTTTATGTTTTGCTTTTTTTATTATGAGTATTTTAAATCCGTTGTGATGTCTTTTAAATTAAACTAAAGTTTACTAAAAGCCAACATAAAAAAATGCGTTTTTGAACAACACCAAAAAGAACAGTTGCATCCTTACAGCAACTGCTGCAGTATCATAATAGGTTACCAAAAGCAGGTATACTGTTTTCCAGTTGTTGTTTTTTTTTTTTTATATATATCTACTTATCTATATAATACTATAGTACGTTTGTTTATATCTCATTCATTTTTTTTATCTTTATCTTTAAGTGTTAATAATTTTATTCTTTGAATGAGATTAGTTAAACAAGTCGGCTTTCCATTAAAGATATTGGTTTCAAAATTGAACACCATTGGCAAAATGCTTACAAAATTAGGTAGTTTTTAAAAATCTGTTTTCTATTTAATACACTTTATTTTAAATATACTTTTTAAATATACTTTTTTAATATACTTTTCTATAACAATCCTACTAATATGGAATCACGTGGCTTTTTAAATATGTTTAATTGTCGTGGTTATCGGTAATAAATATTTTAAATTATTTGATATGGTTTTCTTTACAATAGGCTATGCTTGGCTCCTCGGTGCTGTAAATGGTGGCTTCAACTTTGTTTTTTTAAGATAAATGTGTTTTATATATGCTTCTGTTTTAAAATATTTTTGTTACATATTTAACTATATATCATGTAAATAAATTTCTTTTAAAGATATGTAAACTTGATACTTGCTTTTTTACGGATTTCAAAAAAGTGAACAAAGGTTTAAATATATTTTTTAACTGTCTTATATGGTTTTATCAATTTTATTAAAGCTGAATAATTACTTGATAATATTGAGTAAAATCCAATTGCTTAATTGAATAATATTGAGTAAAATCCAATTGCTTTTATTATTAACCTGATCTATACAAAAATTAATGAAATAAAACTAATAATTTAACGCCAAGTTAAGGCAAAATGTATTCCGGACATTTTATAAAATTAGTATAAATATGGATTGGATGTATGCTGAAATAAATATGTTGATACACGTTAGCTATTAAAGTAAACCCATATATTCTTTTATTGTTTTTTTACAAACAAGTTTCTGCTGGATTACTAATTTAAAAAAAGGTTGGTTTAATAATAATCTTTATCATAATAATATAGGATCCGTATGCAAGGCTAAGCCCTTTTCGGAAATCCGATATATTTTTCAACTTATAGTTTTTCCGGATATTCAACTTCTATGCCTACAAGTTTGGGTGTAGTATTTTAGATGTTTTAAAAATATTTAAAAAGTATATTAATAAATTGAAAAGTTTAGGTGCGATAGTGACATATTTTTAAGCTCTTCACTCAGTAAAATGAAAAGTTTCAAAAAAAAAGAAACGACTCAGCTTAAAGCAAAATTGAGAGTAGAATATATTCCCAATATTTACCTAAACAATTTTACGGAATTTGAAAATTTGACATCGATGTTCTGTGCATATGATTCAAGCCATTTTTAACTACTACATGGTTGTGATTTGCGCATTTAATGTCTAAACATTGCAAAAGAAATAGTTAACTTTATCTTTATTGTGGCTAAAAGTTCTCTTAAACTAAGAAGCCAAGAAAAATAAAAGTGAGCTCAACTAAAAAAATGTATAAATAAATTTATATTTCATTAGAGAAAGTAAATAAAGATCAAATTGTTAGTAATTTTTTATTTACTACTAACCCGTATATACGGGTTGCTTACTGTATAAATAAATTTATATTTTATTAGAGAAAGTAAATAAATATCAAATTGTTAGTAATGATTTATCTACTACTAACCCGTATTACGGGTTGCTTACCGCTAGTTATGTATTAATGATTTAAAGTAATTAATTAATTAACTATTAATTATTGAATTCTAATATAAAGAAGTTTTATCAGAAAAAATTTAATTCATTTTCAGTTAACAAAAGTAATTGCTTAAGTTTTGTTTTGAATTGGTTTAGAGAATAATTAGTTATCATTTCATTATTTAATATTATGTTCCACAACACAAAAGAGAATTTAGTAGCGGAATAATAAGTTTTGGATTGAATGTAGTTGTATTTTGAAAATCTTGTAGGGTATATGTGATTTATTTTTTCAAAAATTGAACAAAATAAGATTAGTAATATATTTTAATCAAGTTTGAACATGAAAATAAGAACTCGATAGAGGTTTAGTTTATATACATTTAGGATATTGAGTTCATTAAAAAGTGTTTGTGTGTGTGAAAAACGATCTACGTTTAAAATTACCCTTATAGCCTGTTTTTGTTTGCTAAGCAATTTTTTTATATTCGTCGCGTTAGTGCTACACCAAGCAATGTTCGCATAACTTAAGTAGCAGTGAATAAAAGAAAAGTAAATGTTTTTTAAACAAGATCGATGTAATAGCTGCTTTGCTTTGTACATTATACCTAAATTTTTTGATATTTTATCTTCAACTACACCTATGTGTTCCCTCCAGGTTACATTTTCGTCTAGAAACACGCCTAAAAACTTTATTGCTTGCTCTCTCTTTATTAATTGATTGTCAATAATAAGGTCTGGGAGTTCTAAGGGAATATCTGATTTTTTATGTTGGCGATGGAATAAAGTGTATTTTGTTTTAGTAATATTTAAAGATAACTTGTTTGATTTAAACCATTGGGTTAGTTTGTCTAATTCTTTGTTTAATGTTTGGAATAATATATTGATATCTTTATTGGAATAAATCAAGCTGGTATCATCTGAAAATAAAATTGTATTTAAAATGTTTGAAAATTTATTTAAATTGTTTATATAAACAAGAAATAGAAGTGGCCCTAAAATTGATCCTCGAGGAACACCACATTTAATTGTCTCATAATTAGTTTTTCCTTCATCATAAACTATATCCCAGCAAACATGTCTGCGTTGAATCAACGTTGAAAACCGGTCGCAAAAGATGTTGCGGAAACGTTGACAAAGTAATCGATTTTGCAAAGATATATAACGTTGTTAAAGAGACGTTGATTAAACGTTGTAGCGTAACGTTGAAAAAACGTTACTAAAAGACGTTACAAAAATGTCGCAACTAAACGTTGAAAAAGCGTTACTTAAAAAGCGTTGCATAGGCGTCGCAACTTAACGTTGAAAAAACGTTACTTGAAAAGCGTTACTTTAACGTTGTTAAAGCAGTTGATTTTGCAAGGATTTGTAACGTTGATAGTAAAACGTCAATTTAACGTGACTCAAAGACGTCGAGTAAAGGTTGAAATATAACGTTAAATCAACGCTCAAATGCGCTGGAGAAAATATCGCAAAATATTATTAAACGTGATTCAACTTGGGTATAATATATATTGAATTTGCAAATAAAACAAAATTGTATGTTGAACTCTGCACTTGCAATATTTCGAAAGTCAATTTTTAATACAAATAGTAATATACAATGAAAAACATAAAAAATATGCAACAATTCATAGATAAAAAATATAAACATCTTTTTTAAGATTTATGTGTGTGAGTGAATTTACAGGATTTACGTGTGTGAGTTAAATTTATGTGTGTGAGTGGATATCGTATCGATAAACCAGGATATCATTGAGATACAGAATCTAAATAAAAAAAATAAAAAAGTATATATATCTATATATATATACATATATACATATATATATATATGTATATATATATGTATATATATATATATATATATATATATATATATATATATATATATATATATATATATATATATATATATATATATATATATATATATATATATATATATATATATATATATATATAAAAACATGTATTTATTATACACACAATATGCTTTTCTTATACATATATACATACATTATATAATTTTTAAATAAATTACAAAATTTATTCTGTTAACAAACTTAATTTGGTCTGACTTATTTTGTTTAATAATTTTGATAATATTTTATAAATGTGAATCGTATTAAAACTAAGTACTATATCTAACTAAGAAATAAATATTTAAAAAAGTTGAGCATTATATTAAAATTGTCAACCTAAAACAAAATAAAACATTGACAAAAATAAGCTAAATAAATCGAATTTATCCTGAGATTTTTGTATATTATATACAACTTGACATAAAATCTAAAAGTTTTAAATTATTTGCAATAAAAATAGGTCACAAAATATAACTTTATTAAAATATATTTTAAACCATATGCATGCATTCTATTAGGTTTTCCTTGCTTTTCTATTACGGCAAATTATTTTTGTAATGGCTAGCTATTGAGACAATAATTTTCAATGTGCCACTTCCTCAACGTTGTTAATGCAATGTTTTATTAACGTTGGCAAAGTAATACTTTTTTAACGTTTTATAATTACCACATTTCCAACGTTGGTGTATGTAACGTTGAATAAGTGTTGTTTTAAAAATAGCTTAAATTTGTTAAAAAAGCAGCTAATGTCTAACGTTGATAAACCATAAACTTTGCGACGTTTTAACAGTGATTATTTCGGACTTTTATTCAACGTTGAATAAACGCGATTTTTTGAGAAGATAAGATACGTTTAAATTTATACGCTTATTCAACGTTGAAAATGTAACGTTTAAAAAGCGGTTTGTCTTTAACGTTGATAAAGAATATACTTCGAAACG